GGCGGTGATCTCAGCGTGTTCTGTTGGTGAGACGCGCATCCCATTCCTCCTGATGCAGAGGGTCCTGGTTTCGACACAGTAGATGCCACCGACATGCAGCACCAGGCGGAAACAATAAACGAGACCAACACCTGCGATGTACAACAAACTCATGACACGACACACCAGACTGTCAGGTAATCGGAAAAGGCTAGCCAGATAATCAGATTATGAGGAAGAGTACAATAATCTATTACACAATTGGATTGCTGACTGACTGATAAGAAATTTCGTCTCCTAACAAAGATTTCTAGATAATAGTCTTCTGCAGTAGTTTCATTCATATGGACAAGGTATTGTGATGATGCAATCTAGACTAAAATTAAAATAATAATTTTATATTCTTTATATCAATTTATTTTTTAAATATTTGAATTAATTTATTCAGATGCTACAAGAAATGAATAAGTAAAATCAGTTACAAAAGTATTATAATATAGCATTCCACCTGAAAATCATTCGTTAGAGAAAAACAAAGTCAATTACTGTAAAAAATCATTGGCACATGATTATCATGAATAATTTGTAATTTCCATCTTGAATTATTGGAATGTGAAAATATAGATTTTATCGATCTTAGAAAATTATAGCATTAAATTATTCATTGTTAAGTCCATACTGATAATATAATCAAAATAACGGTACTTATGTACTCTGTCCCAAATTGAGCTTTAAATGATACTATGCTGCATATCTTGTGATATGGCAATAATTTTTTTATTCTCATATACAAACTAGAAGAAGGACCATTTTTATTTATAGGAGAATGACTTAAAAATCTAATGACTTTTGTTGCATAAATTGCAGCAGAGTTCTATCAAAATTAAATTCGGTGACATATATTTGTGCAATAATATAGCTAGGAATACTTTTTGAAGTATATAATGTGGGCAAAAATATATTTTCAGCATGGCATGAATATAACAACTATATCGTTGATAGATTTTCTTTTTATATAGTTATCATTGTGAGCATAGTTATAAATTGTACTCATTTTCCTTGCTGTGATAAGTCACACACACATTGTGTATACATATATACATGTGTGTGCATATATATATATATATATATATATATATATATATATATATATATATTTGTGGGTATATGTGTATATGTATGTATATATTATGACACCTATATACCAGTGATAAACTTTTATTTCTAAATCTTAATTTGTCAAGGCCTAAAAAATTCTTATTTGATGTTTGTCAATAATAAAATTCATATAGAATTTTCTGCACTCAACATTCCAAGTATTGGAAAAAAGTTTTTTCTGAATATTTGCTGTTTTTAAACCAGTAAGTTACAAAAAAAATATTTATAAGACTCAATGCATGTGAATCTGCTGAAAATCTATGTTCACAGTCTTTTGTTGTGTCGAATGCCTTTTTGAGAAGAGAGAAGAATTTTTAATATTTAGTCATATTTAAATTGGTGCACAATGTTGTGCATGGCAATATTTCAAATGGTTTTCCGAGATTAGAAAATAAGTTGTAAAGTGATATATTCATATATTATATAATAATATTGTATAATATTTGCAGAAGAATAATCAACATACACACATATTGATTGCATATATATATATATAATATATATATATATTTATATATAGATATTAGATATAGAGAGAGATAGATAGATAGATATATAGGAGATAGATAGATATATATATATATATATTATATATATTATATATAGATATATATTTATATATATATATATATATATATATTATATATATATATATATTATATATATATATATATATTACATGTATGTATGTATGCATATCTATATTTTTGGCATATAAGATTGAGGAAAAAGAAATTTAAAATTTATTTGCCAAATGCCTCATTGAAAAATGTTGATGTAAACAGAAAATGATATTATAATTCTTTTTAATTTTTTTTTTAAATATAGCAATAAAACTATCTGATATATTGTTACTATAAAAGTGAAAAACTTGCAATTGCAATTTGGTTATATTTGAAAATTGAAGAGAAGATAGATTATAAACATTTCTACAAAGCATCCATGAATAAATCATACATTTCTTTTTTCCGTTAAATATAATTATATATTTATATATGTATATATACGTATATGTATATGTATATTTATATGTATATGTATATATTTTTGTGCATATGTCATGTTTATGTGCTTGTGCTGATAATTATGCAGTTTTAATATTTACGGAGTAGGTTTAAGACATTGCTGAATGATTATTCATTAATTTTGTTAACATTTGATGGTATGCATACATTATTTTGTCAAATAATATTAATATTAATATTCACAAATTTTGTGTAATAGTGCATACACAATAACAACTTAACATTTAATTATTAAAATTGAGACTATAAATGAACATAATTCAAGAATTGTATTTATGTATTTTTAAATGTTAAAAGTTTTGACAATTTCAAAAGATGAAAATTGTCGATTGTTTTTATGAATCGCTTCATATGAAGCATTGAAATGTTTCTGCTTATTTTTATATATTCGTGTTATGTTTAATTCTAATTCACTGCTTAACATATTGTGAATATTTATGTTTTTGATTTTGTAATCAATTAGAATAAACAAAAAATGACTAGAGATTTCATGTTATATTAAAATGTTGATATTAACGCAAACAAAATTTAAATTGTGATAATTGTGAATGTAATTGGTCCCATGTTTGATCATGTATATGTATAATCAAGTTGAAAGTGTTTTACTTTTTGTAAACTGGATTGGAACATATTGGATTCTAATTGGTTGTGAATTTCAAATGTATGTAAATATGTTTGTTACGTAGATATAACTTGTTGATTTTTGATATCTGCCATAATGTAACTTAAAAAGCTTTTTATACATTTGAAACCTTATTAAATGCCTCGATATTGGATGAATTGGTTTTATGAAGTAGAATATAGGTATAATAAAAGAACTGAATAGAATGAGTTAATATAAAAAGTGCAAATTGCTAAAAATTTGGAATATTTTATATATGTATCCATTCATCCAATATCAAAACTTACACATACATCTTGTATCATTTGCATCGAGCATATTTGAAACTTGTATGTAGCAAAAAGTTCGTGTTATCATAGCAATGTTATTAAGCTATTTCAAAGATCACATGTTTGCATTGTAGTCAATGTCGATAATTTTAATAGAAGAGATTTCATATCTATAGTGGCATTATGAGAACAATGTTCCTTCTAAAATATATATTTGTTGTTATACTCTAAGGCTAGGTTATAATGTTAAATTTTATTTGATGTTTTCTTTGAGTTAATTTAATTAATATAACTTACAAAATTGATTTATATAAATGTTTACATTTACACAATCAACTTATTTTATATTTATACAAGACTCAAACGTATTAAAATATTGAGAAAATTAACAACAAATAAAATATTAAAGTGTTAGAATTAAGACATCTCTTAATGGCTAATTAAGCATGATAATGTTAAATTTATGGGTTAAAATCCAATGTACACTCTGCAGTTCGTTGTTGCACTTTATAGAATTATCATGCATAATTTTCAATTAGGAATTCATATTTGTTTAAGAATCAATACAAAATTGAAAGTGGAAGCTAATTTAATGTGAATTATGTGGTGGTGAATAAATATTCCAATAAGGATGGTTCGATCCAGAGAAGATATGTGAGCTGAGATTTATAGTGTGCAAGTAAAAAATATACAAGTAGGAAAGACATTAACAAATTTTCAAATTATCAAATTAAAAAGACAATTTTTGAATTATAGTAATTTAGTGTGAGTAGAAAAGAATGAGAACAATTTGTAAACAAAAGAATTAACTCAAAATATGATGATGATGTTAAACTTAAACTGATGTATGTGGACACATATTTGAATAAATTAAATATAGATGTTGTATGATAAAGAAAAAACAAATTGTTGGCGAATTGTATGGCTTCATCCATTTCAAAATAAATTTGTTTTTCTTTTATAATTCTGCTGTTTTTATTGAATGAATATTGATTGTAAATAGAATAAGAAACAAGGCTATTGTAATTTTATGCTTTATACCTAGCAATACAAGCAAGCAGTATTGATGAATATAACAGTTAAGTAATTTTATCTAAATAAATATCTGCTTTAGATCAATGGAACATGAAATTGCAATGCCCGATCGGTTTTTGAAGAAACAGTTTTCTCATGATATATGAAAACAATATACTTAAATTTATTTAGATAAAAGGACAGATATATTCATTATGATAACATTCCTGGATTCAAAATTGATTAAAGTCTTTTTTGACGGTATACATTTTTTAAATATCCACTGCGTATAATTTTTTATAATATGAAAATAAAAATAAGAGCGGAATCGAAAAGAAAATAAAGTTTAAATATAATTATAATGATATAAAAATTAAATTAGAAGGGTTAAAAAAAACTTGTTAAGATAACGTTGAAGAAGAAAATAAGAAAAAATAGAAGTAATATTAAATACAGTTAATACCTATTGTTTATTGTTGGATATCAAAATTGGTATATTTAAAAATATTGTTGGAATATTTGAAGAGGTTTCAAAATTTGTTAATGATGCTGTGGAATTATTGGCTATTTAATTTTCTAAAAGGCAGTAAATTAAAAATTAAATATTCAGATAATAAAACTGTTTATGTACTATATATATATTTATAATTTTTTGAAACTTTAACTCACAATCAGTCACTTCATAAATGTGATAGTGGATAAAAATAACATTTTTTGGCAAATCATATATTGGGAACTTATATTTAAAATCGAGAATATGCAGTATATTTTCAATTAATTAATTTTAATGCAATAATTACTTAATATGTTACAACTTTTACTAGCTTTTCTATTTACCCAAATAAAATTTATAAAATGAAATACAACACTTTGTGAATCATAGACCTTAAAATTCACTTAATAATAATTAAGCTTATATTATTATTTCCTTGGCAACTAATAGAATCTATTAGTCATTCTCTTCATCATTTATTTCGGGTACTGGCAAAGTATTTGCAATAACATCTAGCAGTTTATCCACATCTTCTTCTGATAATCTTTCTTCACTGTCCTCAACAATTAATTGTATTTGAAGGGGCGTAGTAGGAGGTTCATTGATCATGAGAAGCTTCTCAATTTTTACAAGATTAAAGGGTTCTACAGCTTTCAGAAAGTTTGATATGTTCTCCTTGCTTTGTAAAACGCATGGAGAATCTTCTAAAAACTTCAAAGTTTCATAAGTAATTGTTGCAAAATTTCGCATCATGAATTTCCGTTTTGAATCTTTCAATTTCAACTCCTTCAGCACTTGCATCACCTCAAAATTGCTTAAGAAGGCAGTATTCACTTTAGTTGCTTCCATAGTTTTAAAATAAATTAATTTCCTTATTTAATATATTTCTAGAATATTTATTACTTCACACTTCTAAACAATTATCTATACATCATTGTATACCAGCAACATAATATATCTGGAAAATTGGTAAGTCTTATTTACATAATTGTAATATTATAAATGTTTATTCATTTTATAAAATCTAAAATAATATCATATCATTAATGTATTTTAGTTTTATTTCTATGATACTTGGCTGTACTACAGATTTGCTAATAGAAGCAACATATTTCAATTGGCTTGAAATCAAACCAGAGTGCTATGGGCATACAAAACAAAGCAAGTTACTCGGTAAGATATTCTTTAGCTATCAAGAAAATAAATTTAAATTATAACACACTGTAACTAAGGTGACACATTTACCAAGTTTTGTAATCCTTTTAGCAAACTGTACTCTTTTCAATTCCTGCAAACTGAAAGTACTCATTTGTATAATTTTAGACAAAAAAATTATTTTTCTAAATATTAAGATTCAATGGAATATGAATATATCATGTCTAGGGACAGAAGTTTCTTCAGCAGTAGAATTGAAAACAATATTTTCTGTTTTTGAGGTTAGGTCATACTGATTTGAATAATAATTTATTTCCCGCACATTTTAAATTCTAACAGCATTAACATTAAACATTTTCAATTTAAAGCTAAATATATATTTCCAAAAAATAAAATACCTGGTTTTAATTACATCAAATAATTTTTTTTTAAATCGATCTGTTCAAGTACTTTTGAAATATAAAAAGTGACAGTTCACGCCTCAAACAAATCGTGACATATAACAATTATAAAATTTTTTTAGAAGAGAGCGTTGTTATATGTGGTTATTTTGTAATTGTTCAGATGGTTATTTTATCATAAATAATTATATTGTTTGGTTGAGGATGCTACAAAAAATCATCCAAGTTGTTTAGAATGAAAGTCATAATAAAAAGTAAGTAATTCGTGACATGATGAAATGGATTGTTAATAATTAATTATTATAATAATTTTAATTTTAATATAAGAATTATGTGTATTTTTACATGTTTTGTGAAAATTACTTAATTAACTAAATTACCCGCTTTTTATTGAAATCATTAAAAGTGAGGTTAGGTTCATGTAATTAATGTATAACTCTTCCGCTTAATTATAAGCAAATTTTGATTGTTGAATAATTCGTTAATTCGTTTAATATAAAATTTGACAAAATTTGTTAAAAAACTATAAGTTTTATTTATTACGTTTGTGAATAGATAATTGTCATAAAAAGTGCATGCTCTGAAAATTTAATTGAATTAAATTATTAATACAATTATATAATTCTATTTTGATTTGACATAGTAATCTAAGAATATAATATGTATCCTAATAATTTTTTTTTTCAATATTATATTCAATATAAAATTGAAGTGAAATAAGATTGATTTAATTTCTAAAACATTATTACTAACAACACGTACACATATTTTGAACAAATTTATATTTTATGTTCCTACAAATTTGTTACAAATTTATATTTTATGTTCTTATTGACTTGATGAGTTTATGTAGTCTTAATACCATATTATTATCGATTAGGTTATATAATGCATCATTTTCAATTCATAAGATAAGCATATGATACTCTCAGACGTGCTAACTGAAGAACTACCAGACTAAGAAACTGATATACTAAAAAACTGGCAGACTAAGAAACTGATGAACTAAGTAATAGAGAGGCTAAGAAACTGCCGCACTAACAAACTGTCACACTAATAAATTGCCTCACGGACAAACTGGTCAGACTAAGAAACTGATATACTAAAAACTTGATAGGTTAATTTGGCAAACTGAGTAATAGAGAGGCTGAGAAACAGTTGTGCAGAGAAACTGCCAAACAAAGAAACTGCCAGATAAAGAAACTGCCAGACCAAAAAACAACCAGATCAAAGAACTGCCAGACTGGAGATAATGATAAAAGCCAAACTGAGAAATTGCCGAACCAAGTAACTGAAGAACTACCAGACTATGAAATTAATACCAGACTAAGAAAATAGAGAGGCTAAAATACTGCCACACTAATAAACTGCCTCGCAGAGAAACTGGCAGGCAAGGAAATGGCCAGACTGTGAAATGGCCTGACTAAAAAACCGTCCAACTAAAACACTGCCAGACTAAGAAACTGATATACTAAAATACTGATAGGGCTAATTTTTCAAACTAGTTTTCCAAAGTAATAGAGAGGCTAAGAAACTGTTGCGCAGAAAAACTGGCAGACGAAGAAACTACCAGACCAAGAAACTACCAGATCACAGAACTGCCTGGCTAAGAAGATAATGATAACTGCCAAACTGAGAAAATGCCAAACCAAGTAACTGCCTAATTGAATAACTGACAGGCTAAGAAACTGACAAACTAAGTAAGAGAGAGACTAAGAAATTACCATGCAGAAAAATTAGCAGATGAAGTAACTGCCTATGACTACGAAACTTCCTGACTATGGAACTGATAAATTAAAGAACTGCCAGACAAAAAAACAGAGGTGCTATGAAACTGCCACACTAAGTAAATGCTGTGCAGAGAAGGCAAAGAAACTGCTTGACTAGAAAAATGTCAGACCAAGAATCTACTGGACCAAACAACTACCAGACTGACAAGAATGAAGAACAGATTAAGATACTGTCTAAGTTGGAGACAGGCTATAAATAATCTCAAATAAATTTCTGTATTATTGTGTAAGAAACCAATATACTAAAAAACTGATAGGCTAATCTGATAAATTAAGTAACAGAGAGTCTAAGAAACTATTGCGCAGGAAAACTGGCAGACGAAGAAACTGCCAGGATAAGAAACTACCACGCTGAAGAGAATGATAACTGCCAAGCTGAGAAAATGCCTAACTGAAGAACTGCCAGACTAAGAAACTGATATGCTAAGAAACTGATATACCAAGAAACTGATATACTAAGAAACTGATATACTAAGAAACTGATTCACTAAAAAACTGACAGACTAAGAAACTGACAAACTAAGCAACAGAGACGCTAAGAAACTGTCCTGCAGAGAAATTGCCAGACAAAGTAACTGCCCAACTAAGGAACTGCCAGACGATGAAACTGATATACTAACTAACCGACACTCTAAGTAACAGAGGTGCTAAGAAACTGTCACACTGAGTAAATGCCATGCAGAGAACTGGCAGGCAAAGAAACTGCTTAACTAAGAAACTGTCAGACCAAGAATCTACTGGATGAAACAACTGCCAGACTGACGAGAGTGGAGCGGATTAAGATACTGACAGTCTAAGTTACAGGCAGGCTAAGACTCTAACTATTACAATTATTCAGGTTTTCATAAAAATAATCTCAAATAAATTTCTGCATTATTGTGTAAGAAACTGATATACTAAAAAACTGATTGGCTAGTCTGGCAAACTAACTAACAGATAGGCTAAGAACTGACTGTTGTTCAGAGAACCTGCCAGACTAAGAAACTGCCAGACTAAGAAACTGCCAGACTAAGAAAGTGCCAGGCTAAGAAACTGCTAGACTGAAGATAATGATAACTGCCAAAATGAGAAAATGCCAAACCAAGTAACTGCCAGACTAAGAAACTGATATTCTAACAAACTGACAGACCAAGAAACTGCCTAACTGAAGATCTGCCAGACTAAGAAAACAACAAACTAAGTACCAGAGAGGCTAAGAAATTGCCATGCAAAAAAATTAGCAGATGAAGTAACTGCCTGACTACGAAACTTCCTGACTAAGGAACTGATAGATTAAAGAACTGCCAGACGAAGAAACTGATATAGTAACTTACTGACAAACTAAGTAACAGAGGTACTAAGAAACTGTTACACTGAGTAAATGCCGTGCAGAGAACTGGCAGACCTAGAAACTGCTTGACTAAGAAGCTGTCAGACCAGGAATCTACTAGACCAAACAACTCCCAGACTGACGAGAGTGGAGAACAGATTAAGGTACTGACAGTCTTAAGTTACAGGCAGACTAAGAGTCTAACTATTACAAGTATTCCTGTTTTTATAAAAATAATCTCAAATAAATTTCTGCATTATTGTGAAAGGAACTGATACACTAAACAAGTGATAGGCTAATCTGACAAACTAAGTAACAGGGAGGCTAAGAAACTGTTGCGCAGAGAAACTGGCAGACAAAGAAACTGCCAGACTAAGAATCTGCCAGCCCAAAAAACTGATTAGACAGTAGATAATTTTATTACAATATTGCACCTGATATCTAAGTGATAATGAACAAATACCTCATTAATTGTTCTCCAATTTTTCTCTGTGATATTTATATATTGTTGGTTATTCTAAATGTAAAATTTTTATCAGATATTCAAATATTTTAATTACATAATAAATAATAATAATGTAATACAATGATATGGTAATAATATTTATAATTTAAATGGTACATGTAAAACTAACTAATTACTATTTTTAATTTTTTTTTTTTTTTTGTATTTATTTTTCATAGCAAGCTATACAAAGTACATTCAGCTACATTTGTTACAGTTATATATTTTTAATTATGGGTGCTTATTTTAATTTGCAATGCTGCAATGTTTATATATTTGTCAGAAATTGAAAACTTTATATAACTTCAAATTTGTCAAAAATGTAGAACAAGATAGAAGTTTTAAAACCGCTTAATACAAAAATATACATAGTTTTATTTAATAATAATAGTAATGTAAAAATAATTGCTTAATACAATAATATACGTAGTTTTATTCAATAATAATATTAATGAAAAAATAACGCAATATCTATCTATTATTAATTACAGGCTTGACTGGTGTAGCAGCCTGGCGATGGGTTGCCAATGATGACAGTTGTGGTATTTGCCGTATGGCTTTTGATGGCTGTTGTCCAGAATGTTCCCTTCCTGGTGACGATTGTCCTCTCGTATGGGGTGCATGCAGTCATTGCTTCCACATGCACTGCATTGTGAAATGGTTACATAGTCAACCTCATACGCCTTTATGTCCTATGTGCCGTCAGGAATGGCGCTTTAATAATAATTGAGGAACTGTAGTTTTCTTAATAAAGATTTGATAAAGTGTTGTAATAAGAAACTTGTAATAAGTGCATTTAACATATCAGTCTGGTTGCTTATTAGTGGTCTGCGACATAGTGGTTTAAGGACTATTTAAAGAATATTTTTTATTGTAAGTGTTGTTTCTGATTTATATTTTACAATAATAATAAACATTATTTAGTGTTTGTTAGTGAAATGTGTTAAGTTTGCTCAGAGTAGTCTTTGTCTTAAGGTGAGTTATTCATTTGTAAATCAAACATAGATATAAGACGTAAACTATAAAAGTTCTGAGTATTTTTATTTTACTGCTACATATTATTAATTTTATTGAAAGCCTTTTTATTTGATAAAAATATAAATTGAATCTTTTGTACTTGGTCAAGATTTGACCAGCGCTTTTTCTATTTAACTCGGGACCCTTTGGGTTAGGGAATACAATTGTATGAGTATAAATATCTGTAACTTATAATAATTAGAGAGACTAGCAAAAGTAAAGAGAGAAGAAGGTTGTAGAGTGAAGATCAATATATATTGTAAATTAAATAGTGGTTCCATTCACACAATTATGGACAGTCCGCTTAATATCCTCGTATAGTGATACTCACCTCACCAGTACTCAATATTTTAAGTAATATTTGCATTCATCATAGAATATATTTTGTAATAATCGCGGAGAGAAAAACTCAGAACTTTTTACTTTACATTATATGCTAGATATATTCTGCTATCTAATAACATTTTCTTTTAATAGTATGCCATCAATTTATTATTATATTTGCACAACCACTCAACTTTAGACTTAATGTCCATGGATTATATTTTTTCATTAATAGTCCATTGGTAGATAACATAAAGTTAATAACATAGGAAAAATGTGCTACATATGATATTGATTTGTAAATTAATATCTCAAGTGCAAGATTTAAATTTTTACTCTTGTTAGTGGTGACTTAGCACCAGAATCCTAGACATTATAATAATGACCAGAACAATCAATACCTGTGATATGGGATATACAATGTTATTACCTAATAACAGCAGAATTAGATAAGCAATGTTTAAAAAGTGCTAAAATATATACACAAATTCTGATATAAAAAGACCCTGCTTTGAAGGTGCAATTTGTATGATATGCTCAAAGTTAAGTGCTAGTTTGGAGTTACAAGATGCATTACAATATTTGCTGATGGTAATATTTAATGTAGATATAGTAGATTAGACAATCTACTAGAATATGAGAAAATGTATTGAAATGCTTTTTGTGAAAGCTCCAAGGCTCTGATTGAAGACTATCGACATGATTTTTAAATGGTGCTTCACTATGGGACTAACAATAAACTCAAATAGCATTGGCAGGTTTCTTAATATTTTATTTTATTTATTGAGAATTAAAGAGAAGAGAATTGAGATCTATTCCAAGTACGATTTTTTGTATTAATCAAATGCTTTATAGCCCAATCAATTTAAACCTAAAATCAGTGTGAAGGTTACTATAATTCATAATGGGCTGTAACTTGGCAAAATGTTTAAAATACAATTATAAGAGAAATCTCAAAAGTCCTCGTCGATCCAATGCGAGTTAAAAAAAATGGCACTATCAAAGGTCAAAAATGACCCTTTTGCGATTTTTAGGTAAAATTAAATGAAACAATATTGCAGAGTCTACAATGTAGACCATATGTAGCATTTAGATTAAGAAATAGATATTTAAAAAGATAGTTTAACAATCAAAGATTGGAATTTATAGAGGCTTTTATGCTTTTTTTCTCTAATTTATCGGTAGAATCTTGCTGTTTTTTTTTTAAATTTACTCAATGTTCAGAATGTGCATCATTTTAAATGTTATTAATTATGAATATGATCTTATTTCATTATAGGAACTAGTTTCAAAACATGCGTTTGTACAGTATTGAATGTTTAGTTTGCAAATTATTTATTTCTTGTCTCATTATTTTAAAATAATATTGTTAGCTCATAAAAGTTTGCTACTTCCCTGCCATGAAAACGTTTCTAAAATTAAATTCTAAAATATATCATTAAATATCGCCATTAAATATATCGTTTCTAAAATTACATATTAACTTCCCGTAGGGCAAGTTATAGTAATCGCAAAAAAATCGAAAATGAAAATTTTTATATATCTTTACGTTTCAGAGGTTTCTGAACATTTTGGCATACCTTAGAAAAAATGGATGTATGTGTGTGTGTGTGTGTGTGTGTTTTTTTTTTTTTTTTTTTTTTTATAGAGGTGCGAAAAAAAATCTTCATAAGACACCGCCATCGTTGATACTCCGCTGTCCATCCTACAGCAGACAAAGATGGACGGCCGTGTGGAGATTTTTACCCACTAAAAAAAAACACTCCTCTCCCCTCTCCCCGCAGATGGTACGGGGAGGACTGGATTGGAACCGCGTTAGCATTACATCAATCCAGTCCGTGCTGCGCCTTGCGACGCCTGTTTACGACTATTGGTCCCTTTCTCCGGTTTTAGCCTTCAAAGATGCTGTGCATAAGCTGCTACAGCTGACCAGTTTTCTTCTTGTTTCATCATGTAGGTCACAAGACTTGAGGGGGTAAGCCTGGTGCCTATAATGTGCTCGGCGTTGTTTCGATAATCCTTCCACCTAGGACATTCAAAGAACGTGTGCTCAGCGTCGTCTATTTTATATGGACAGTATTTGCACATTGGCGTGCTATGCAATCCCATCTTAAAAAGATAGGCATTGAACTGTCCATGTCCTGTCAGTAGCTGGGTTAGAAAGAAATCTGTGTCCCCGTATTGTCGAGAGAGCCAGACGCTAATGTCCGGAATCAGACGCGCCGTCCATCTGCCCGTCTCTCCTGACGTCCACCGATTTTGCCACTCTTGTATCGTTTCATTTTTAATTCTCGACCTTGTTTCTCTGGAATCGTCACCACCTAATTTAGCGTCGTAGAGTTTCACTCTCTCGAAAGCTAGCAAGTCAATCGGTGTGGCTCCTGCTATTACCAGCACGGCTGCTTCTGAGACTGTGCGATAGGCACAGGTAACTCTCAGAGCTCCTCTTCTTTGCACTGCCGCTATTTTGCGCCGATAAGTCTTTTGCTTGAGGATATCCGCCCATATCTCTGTTCCGTAAAGCAGTACAGAATGGACTGCCTCAAGCAGGACTCGTCGTTTTCGGGTTTGTGGTCCCATGCAGTTAGCCATAATCCTTGACAAGTTGGATACCGTCTTGCTAGCTTTTATGCATGCACTATCGAGATGCTCACGGAAGGATAGCTTCTCATCTATCATTACTCCCAGGTAGCGCAAGGCCCTTGTCGACGTCAAAGTTGTCTCTCCTATGTCTACGGTAAATGGTTTTGGAAACCATTTTTGTCGGGTCAAGACAACCATCTCCGTTTTTTGTTTGGCGAGTTTTAGGTGGTGTTTCTCAAGCCAGGTCTCTATGGTGTCGACGGTCTCTCGAACGAGTAGTTCAGCTTCCTCAATGTTGTCCACTACGATTGTGGCTGCGACGTCGTCCGCAAGTGTGTGTGTATGTATGTATGTATGTATGTATGTATGTATGTATGTGCGTGTGTGTATGTATGTGCGGATACAAATTTTCGTCGACGATTTCGGGAACACGGATCAACCGATTTGAATAATTCAAAAAACATTCGATTCGTATTAATAAGGAGACGTGCTGATTAGTTTTTGGCGAAGGCAGGTCTAGCCGTTCCGAAGATACGGGACAAAAAGTGCCAAAAACGATAACTCAGTTTTTAAGAGAACGGAGCGTCCGATTTGAATAATTCAAAAAACATTTTACTTGTATTGACAAGATGAAGAATTGATCAAATTTTCATGAGGGCAGGTCTAGCGGTTTCGGAGATCTAACAAAAAAAAGTGAAAAAAAATGCCATTTGGCGGTCAAAAATGATCATTAGACATACGCACATCAAATTATCAGATATTTTATAGAAATTTTAACAATAAGTATAAATTTTGTTTACATTCCTATGGGTTCCACTTCCACTTACGCGCTTTATATTTTATATCTATTCAGTTAGAGCAGTACGATTGCTTTGAAAAATAGTTCAGATCTTCCAAAATATGTCAAAACAAACAAAACATTTTTTTTTTCAAAAAAAAAAAAAAAATTTTTTTTTTTTTAAAAAAAATTTTTTTTCAAAAAAAGTAATTTTTTGTCCAATTTATAGTTTCAAAAAAATCTTATTTTTTCGAAGTAAATTTTTTTCAAAAATGTTAATCGTTTTTAAAAAAAAAATAATAATTTTTGGTACGGGAAGTTCCAGCAATTTGCCTTAAGGCACGATGCCTCAATTGCCTTAAGACAGAATTCCACTTACAGCTAGTTTAGTTTTCTTTTCAACGGCATTAAAATCAAGTCGTTATTTTATCTAGGCATAAAACATCGTATGTTTATTAAGAAATAAATGATTCAAATTTTATAGGCACAATATATTCATCAAATTTTGCTGCTGTTTCGATTTTAAAATGTCGTTATATACATTTGGTTGGCTGAATTTCTGCGGATTATCGAATGAAGGAATATGGTTTAAAAGATTTTTTATTGCCTCTTTTAATTCAAAATATATAGTGATATCATGTTGTCGAATGCTGTGAGATTTAACTCAGAACCTTGTAATCGTAAACCATTACTATATGGCTTATTAACTTCCCGTAGGGTAAGTTATTGTAATCGTCCAAAAATCGAAATTGAAAATTTTTGCCTTTCTCGACGTTTTGAAGGTTTCCGAACATTATGGCATACCTCAGAAAAAATGGATGTGTGTGTGTGTGTTTTGTGTGTCCGCATTTTCTCGTTCACGTTTTCGGGTGTACGGTTCAACCGATTTGAATGGTACAAAAAACATTCGATTCCTATTGATAGGGAGATGTGCTAATTAGTTTTTGGCAAAGGCAGGTCCAGCTGTTACGGAGATAAAGAGCAAAGAGAGCAGAAAATAGAAATCGAATTTTTGAGAGAACGGAGCATCCGATTTGAATGATCTAAAAAACTTTCAATTAGTAATGATTGGAAGAAGTGGTTATTAGTTTTTGGCAAAGGCAGGCCTTGCCATTTTGAAGATACAGAGCTAAATGTGCAAAAAATGGCAGTTTTTGAGAGAACTAAGCGTCCGATTTTAAATGATTCAAAGAGCTTTCTGCTTGTTTTAACAAAATAATTGATTTTGGAAAAAAAAATTTTTGTTTCAAA